GTTATATAATTCAATATAATTGCAAAAGACACGAGGTAATAAAGTTTATCGGGTAGATTATTGTCCAACAATATTGACCTGGCACTTCATTAACTTTCGTAAAGGTCATATGAATAAATACTGACCTGTATCTATCGAATATATCGATATATTTGCTAACCTCACTCGTCAGTGAGGTGTGGTTTATTGGTATAGATGTCGGACTACCAATCTGATGGTCTCTGGTTCGATTCCTTACCAACACCACGTTATTTTTTTATAATTTACTTGCAAGAATTAATTTGAAATCGTTTTATTCAGAACATCTGGTTTTAGAATACCTCTTAAGTGGTGTTTTATATACAAATATATTTTTTATTTCATTACCGTATCTTTCTTTCAACGGTTCTTTTTATAATATTATGCAATTGAATACATGTATGCTTTAGCACATACACGCTATAAAGGCATATATTAAAATACTACATAGATAGTACACACATAAAAGGTGTGCAATAGTTTAAATTTAAAATGAAATAAAATAAAAAAATAAATCGGTGAAATTGGGTTCGAACCTACCAGTTTATGTCTGCATTCTTCAAGTGAACCCTCTTTACCAACTGCACTAGAGAGACTTTTTAATTAACATCATTTTAACAATTAGATATTTATACATTCATATCGATTTACATGTAGATCGTAACGTTTACGGAATATACCGACTACAGGGTCAAATGCAAGAGTGCCAGGTCAATGTTGTTGGACAATAACATGTTAGCTTTAGATTGACACCACATTCATTAAAATTTGTTCACTTTAACTGAATTTATAGCTCGCTGGTATACTCAAAAACAAAATTGGTCGAAATACGGCCTTATATTAGGAATCGTTGTATGATTGCATTGGCATTGGGTGCAATATTCTCTGTGTATGGATACAACGATTCTATATACATTTAAAGGATTTTAAAGATAATACTTCTCAATTTAAACGGATAAATATTTTCTCTTAACCGTGTATGAAATCATATTTAAATTTAATGCATTATGTTCCATTGAATTCTTAGCTTACGGACGGTATTGTTGAATGATACACACTGTATAAATATTACAAATACATAAAGAGATATATATATATATATATTTCATAAAAAGGATACATTAAACGTATTTAACAAACTTACTTACACACTTATATATTAAATTGACCATTTATCTTAGGCAAAGGCATTTATCAGAAATAACATCTAGAAATTTCAGATCAACTGCGCCAATTATCTGCTTCTTAAAATAATGATATAATTACCAATGGTTTCATGTTTCATTTGCTTGCTTTCGCCCACAGCTCTTACTGTCTGAACGAAAAGTTTCTGTTGTTTTCTTATACAAATTAACCTTCGTGAAAGAAGAACCACGGTTCTAAATCATCAATAGCGAGAGTAGGCTTATTGTTTGTACTGATACATTAGTGTAACATACATTAGTGTAACATGATGCTTTATAAATAGGATAATGTCACAAACATACTTGTCATTCGTCATGACTGTAGTGGAACTTCACTGTTTTCAGAATCCAGTTAAACATAAACTTTAGTCTGAATATAATCAAAATCATTTGCACTGGCTAGAATTCAATATGAAAACTGTACTATGGTTCAATGAGGAAATTGAGAGGGACGCTGGAAGCTGTAAGCCTACATATAAATCTCACCGTCTCTCTGCACTTTAAAATAAATCAGTAAATTTTTCAAATACTAATAAAAACAATAAGCATGTTTCATTTTGATATTCATATAAAATTCCCATGAAGTATTATAATCTTGACTGCAACATTTTATACTTTCTTAGTTAGGATGGTTGCGATTCATATCTTCATACTTCAATTGGGGTCAAAAAACAATGCACATGCATGAACATTTAATAAATTATTAACAATGATACAAGATAAAAAAACAAAATTTTAAAAATCTGTTGTGTTATCTTTTTAGATATAATAAGGCAGACTTCTAACAAAAAAGGGGAAAAAAGAGAGGAAAAACACTGGTTGAAAAATAATAATACCATGTTTTTGAAGTTAAATAAATGATGTGGTGTACTATAAAAACTTATAATTATATGTTTAAGATGTTTTTATGTAACTATAGACAACACGTAGATAAAAAACGTGACAAGACATTTAACATATTGCGCGGTGGTTAACAGAGTACATTATTGGTAGACTTGCATTATATGATATAATTTGACAACTGATTTTATGTTAAAGGTTACTTTTGAGTTCATCTTATGAGTGTCTGTAAGCGTTTAAAGATAAAAGTAAAGAATTGTTTGATGTTATCCGTTTCATTGTGTATATAGATTTACTGGTGAAACAAACGATTATCCATTAACGCTGATGCTTTTTATCAATAAACACAAATTCTTATTCTTGTCCAAGAAAATGTTCAATTGATAGTTTAGCAAAAAGAAACGAAAGAATGAAAATCTGAGACTGAAATCACTTCCAAAATTAATCTTTATTTCCTTATACGCTGTATTGTTATATCAAGCAAGAATAAAAAGAGCGTCACTTTCTATCCGTGCTATTACTACGACAGTGTGAAGTTTAATAATTCTGGATTTTTGAAAAAATTTTTGAATTAACAAACTGTATTTAAACAACAAGCTATTGTAATTTTGTGAAGACGCAGGAATGTCTTGTTCTTTAAATACGCAGTGTATTATCGTTAAACACCATTCTGTAGTTTAATGGACTTGGTATGAAATACATGTATATATACCATTATATTTTTCTCTTGAATCCTTTACTTAAAAGCATTCGGTAATAGAATGGCGCTGAAAACAATGCATTTCTTTTTCTAAACCAAGGAAAAATTCAATTGATTCCAAATTTTCCGCATCTTATTGCAGGTTATTTCCATCTGAAATGACGTTTTATTACCAGTATGATTATAACCATTCCATTATCCCTGTAAAAAAACCTGGGAGTATACACAATGCAGGTAAATAACTCCTCACATAGATTTTACACAAGTGATAAAAATGAAATGTAGGCGGTAAAAATTAACATTTAAAAAAAAACATATATTAAAAATTATAATTCACAACACTAAAGTTCTCTTATTTTATACAGTGTTTAAATTTGGCATTTAGATTAATTCAAATATTTAAAAAAAATTGTATTTATTATAAAGATATCCTAATAATGTTTACTAAATTAAGTCTGTGAAATAGAAAATGGAGATCCGTTGAGAGCAAAGACAGCATTAGTAAAATGATGAGAATTGACTGAAGGCTCGGTGCATGAGAGATAAAGAATGATTTGACTGTCGTCGTATATTTTATATATTTTTGTTTGTTTGAAAACTTGTAAGGTTATATAATGGACGGACCTCGAACCTAATTTACTTATGTCGAGGATAGTAAACGGAGTTTTCTCTTTGGCAAAAAAAGAAGTAGAAAAATAAAAAATAAAAATAAATGCACTTGATATACGAGTATACGCACATTTTTATTCAGATGTGAGTATAAAATTAGTAATAGAAAGAGCACCGAAACACGAGGCTATCTGATTTGTACGATGGGGCGTAGCCCCCTAGTATAAATCAGATTGCCGAGTGCTTTGGTGTTCTTTCTCTTTTGTATCATAGTCAAACATAAAAGCACGTTCTCTGTTGTCACAATATGAAACCACGGCAAAAATGAACCAATGAACGAACATCTGAATTTCTGTCGCTTTCCCTTTCTCTGCCGGCACAATATGTAAACCCCAGCAAAAATTAGCCAATCAATGGCCATGTTCTGGAGTGCGGGTAACTAAAAACCGCACTCCAGTTAACGCACTGTGCATGTATATGTATACGATTTAACCCTGACACATTTTCAGCAGAAAGGTCTCCAAACTATGATACAATTAGTAGATCGCGACCCTTCAATTCAATTTTAGTTTCGGTGACTGTTGTCGCTAATATCTAGCGATGTTCTTTTGTTTAATTTAGTTTATCACCTTTCATAAGTTTGGCGCGAATCTGACATGTTTATTTCATGTAACTTACTGTAAGTTCTCATATTTCACATGATTTTATTGAGTATTTCTGCTTATGTAATATTATCTATAAAAGCTTAACTCCGTTTAGCTCCTTATTTAATTTTGGTGGGAAAAACTCACATGTTCTTAAATGTTCACGATGATCGTGCTTTTCTTGAAATCATTAAGTTCTTTTGGCGCTAAAATTTGGCTACTATATATGAGCCGTGTCACCACAAAACCAACATAATGGGTTTGCGACCAGCATGGATCCAGACCAGTCTGCGCTTCCGCGCAGTCTGATCAGGATCCATGCTGTTCGCTTACAAAGTCTATAACAAGTTGTGAAACTGACAGCGAACAGTATGTATCTTGATCAGACTGCGCGGATGCGCAGGCTGGTCTGGATCCATACTGGTCGCAAAGCCACTATGTTGGTTTTGTCGTGACGCGGCTCAATTATATTGATGTAATTGTGTTATAGCCATTTGTTATAGGAAAAAGAGTGAAAAAATTTCACATAAATAACTGTATAATTTTCAGTTCATGACATATCATGAAATATTTTAAATAAACACACGTTGCCTGGCACTAATGTGCTGTTACAAATAAAAATAATAATAAAAAAACTAATTAGATATGATTGCCAATTATATCAAAATATTGTCTAAAAATATATTGGAGAAAATCTTTCTTTGGATTTATCAAGTAACTTTGATTACGAAACGAATAAAAAAGAAATATATAAACCCGAACCCTTACAGTTTTAAGTCAACATCGTATGCTGTGACAGGTATGGTACTTGCCACGAGCATCAATATTAAAAGTCTACAACAAAAACATTTAAGACTTTAAAAACGCTTGAACGAGCGTCAGTTAGTTTATGCTCAAACTAGTTTGGAACTCCTGCAAAAGTGTTCTTTATTCCTCTACAACGTGTCACCAGCCGCAAGCCTGGAACTGTCGTCCAATAATTACCTGTCGTCTGCAGTTGAAAGCGTCTCGCAATCAATATCACTGGACGCTCTGTCAACCTACAATTCTAGGCAAGATTGAAATGTGGCGTTACTAGAAACATTGAAGAAAAATCACTGCATAGCATTTATCAAGTTATTAAATTTCAAGAACTTTCTCTGTTTAATTTTGCTTTTCTTTGTGAATGAGTTATATTGGAAATAGACAAGTATTTAAAAGATTTTTATAGGAACTTATAACAGAAGTAAAAGCAGATACAGTGAGAGGAATTTATTCTTGTTGCGCTTTACGGATTTTAATAGCAAATGCAAATTTTCTGGAAATATGGGCAGACGTGGTAAGGATACAATCATTTGTTTGTATATTTTGGAGTAATATTTTCTATATGATATTTTTGTATACTGTTATGGTATTGATCTTGATTAAAAAAAATATTTATATCTAATAAATGAACGGATATTTTTACGTGCGGTTTTGTTTAAGGAAAGCGATGGTTTTATATTACCTATGAATACATACAAGGAATATGATCGTCTGAGTGTGGTAATTTAACTTTAAGTCTCGTAAAATTAATGTACAATATTTTAATCAACTGTTATAGTTAAAAAAATGATGCCTGTAGAATACGTTTATTGCAATAGTTGAGAGAAAAAGTCCGCTGTGAAAATCTGCAATTTCAGATTTATTCAAATGTAATATGATTAATATGATGCATAGGGAAATAATTATGAATGCAAACTGGTATTGCAATGTAAAGTGACCGCGTCATTATTTTCCTGTATATTATCTGTTATATTGTTATAATTATTGGTTATTAGCATATATACGTGCTAAATTTATCACAATCATATGTATACAATATCTACCTATTACTAATATTGACCAGTATGTAATGTTACGCGTATTGTTCGGTGTATTATTACGGTATAAATTAATTTTATTTAATGTAAGGAACGATAAAACCTTAAGATAGACTTTTGTATAAAATAAAAAAATAAAATAAATGACGTGAATATTATTTTACGAATATTGAGAACATTTAATGGCGGGACATTATATATTTACATTATATTTACACAAAGTATCTATAAATAGTAAGTTCATGTATTGTAATGAGTATGATGTTTTACTTGAAACGTTTTTAAGAAATCTATATACTCACCGGCGAGATTAAATAAATGAGATTTTAATGACTCCTTATTTTTTTAAAGTTCAGGGACATTCCTATCACGTTCACGTGGCTTTATTACAAATGTTCCTTTTTTGCCCTAAGAGGAGTGGTCTTGATTCAATCATACAATAATTTCGTGTATCAATGAGGGAATATAAGTCGTTAATATCTGAGCCGCGTCACGACAAAACCAACATAGTGGGTTGGCGACCAGCATGGATCCAGACCAGCCTGCGCATCCGCGCAGTCTGATCAGGATCCATGCTGTTCGCTTACAAACCCTATAACAAGTAGAGAAACTGACAGCGAACAGCATGGATCTTGATCAGACTGCGCGGATGCGCAGGCTGGTCTGGATCCATGCTGGTCGCAAACCCATTATGTTTGTTTTGTCGTGACGCGGCTCATTTATTTTTATAGTATCGTGTCATCTCTCTTTTTCAAAACGTGCTATTCAACCTACAATTTGACAAATTAAATTAGTGTTACAGTGATGAAATGTTTTACAGTGTTTCTCTTGCGCAAAAGCATTTGATGTATGCGCACGTTAATTCAAATATTATTGTTGAAATAATTGCAGAGGATGAGTAAAAGCATGTAGCATAATCGCGTGACTGCAGGAGCGTTGATTAGTTTTATAGTTGCTTTTACTTGCTTGATTGCAAGTTCAATGTAGAAAATATAATTGTTAGTATTTTAACATATGTATCTGTTCGATAATTTATTAAGTTTTAGAAAAGTCAAATGCTAGTGTCAAATGAATTTTCGGCCATCTTTGAATAGTCCCTTTAAGTGATCAATGATTTTAACCAAGAATGAAAAACGGGCAAGTCCATTTAAGATTTTAGGTGGGAAGGGTCAATGTTGAGCATGTTTTCATCAGCCGCATCAATTCAATTCTCACCTTAGTTCGTCTCACAAAAGAGTTACATGGAAAGCAATGCATATAAATTGCTGAGTAACAACTTGTTGTTTGTTTCACATTAAATTTGTCTAGACTAAAAAAGGACTAAATAAAAACAAAGAAAAAACAACAACAATCAATGCCTTACACGTCTGTTTATGCATTACGTGATGCTTATACTTACGCAAAGACAAATTGTTTATACGCTTGAGATGTAAATCGCAAATTATTTTCTAAATGTTGGATATTGTATTTTTTCCGAAACAAATTATCTGGTTTTGAACCCCGACAATGGTCTTTCCGTCTTTTTTCTGTTTGCACCAAGTTCGCGCATTACCAGCAAAATTTTGGCACGAGAGTCAATAATGCTCGGAGTAATGAATTATTAGTAGATATAATAATTGTCAAAACGTTATCCCACAGGTTACAGTTACGCAATAATTGCACGAATAATTCTTCCAAGAATAATTCTTACACGAATTATTCTTACAGACATTTGCTACATGGTTGATCAGATAATTATATATCTATTAATTCTTTTACTTAGATTTATTTGTAACCGTTTATTACAAAGTAAGAAGTAATAACACAATTTAAAAATAAAACATAACAAACGGAGCTGCAGAATTGATCAATATAGAATGATATTTATAATAATAAACTTTAGTTAAAGTATAGAAATAACAAAATGCATATGCTCTAAACAAGTGTGCATGAATTTTTCTCTTTTTTATTTATTAATTATTTCATTTATTTATCTCTATCTTAATATATAGTTTATAAATTACATTTGTATACGTTCTCTTTGAATTCGTTTTTAAACTTCAGGAAAATCACTGTAAAAATAAAACATTTTCCATTCTGTTGATCACTATATTTGTTATTATGTCATAATTGACAGACGTTAAATATTTGTATAGAATTAATATATATAAGAGTTTATATTGAACAAGTATATGCCTTTTGCATTGACCTTAGTTTGTTTTGAATTATGTGAGATTATTTTCTCTTAGACAGTAAATAACTGTTAAGGGCACTTTGCTCTATGCCTTTTGATTTTAGTTAGCGTTTGTTTTATTGCGTTGGTTATTTAAAAGTCTTGTAACGGCGTACTTAATTAAACATAGTCTGTTTTATGGCTGGTGAGAATCGCTGGCCTACGATCATGTAATGGGTTATTTTCCTTTGAATAATTTATGTATTTGTATTGTGTTATCATTTATTGTAGGCGAAGAGCATTCCCGTAAGATTTTTTGTCATGATATTGTTTCTTAGTTCAGCCCTAGGCACTCCCAATTTTCTCCGCAGACTTGACTTTGGTTACGTTATTAACAAAGGCATGTGGTGGCAGTAATTCGAAAATTCGATGAGACATAACGAAAATGGTATAATGTCCACGTGCCATTGTACATATAATGTTTATTTTCTCACAAACTTTGAACACATTTTTTTCAATGAGCCTCAAAGTAAATCTATAGTTTATCATCTTGTATTTAAGAGTTAAAAGCGCCCACTTGTTGTTGTGTAATCAAAGTATTATGAATGTTGTCACGCGATATACTAATTATGATTTTAATGCAAGTCTGAAGTGAATGTATCAGAGAGCATAAGGTTTAACATTGACTCATAAATTAAATATTAACTACATAACTATTTTATCCTTAACAGTTGATATATGGGATTTGTAGCAGGTATATTTAGACACTTGTGGTTTAGTACAATGTAACATTCTCATAAATGCTTTTCTTCCATTTGTGTACAATGTCTCCTGCTCTAATATTATATATCCATGTATTAGCAGAATATTAAAAGATAACATTCAAATAGTTTCCCAATTGATATGCTATAACGTTCTTACAAAGAATCGTTTTAAAACCCATTTTATTCTGATTGTTTTTTTAATAAAAGTAAGATTTTGATGGATTAAAATAAAAGCAATACTATTATTTTGCGAAATAAAAAAAAACAACAATACGCGAATCATCAACGGCACTTCTGATGTTCTTGCGTGGAATGGAAACGCGATATCTTTAAGGCCATTCAGTGTCATTAGCAGAAACATTGTTAGATACAGATTTACTTATTTCCCAGTTGAATAAGTTTGAATATATTGTACGAAAAACCCGTATTATATTCCTGATATAAAAATATTAAATGCATTGAACTGGAAGTTTCTGTTCTAAGTATGTCTCATAAGATTCGGTTCCATCAATCGAAATGGGGTTAAGTCACATCTGTTTTAAATTCTCACATGATTTCAAGCCTGCTCAAACCGCTAAAGACAATTGCTTTTAGTGATAGTTCTAACATATTAGCAATACTGTAAAATAACAAAGGAATATACGAGGAGCTAAACAAGCTTGAAAATTGTTTCTAGCTATAACATATGCTTCTCATTTTAAGTAGTTAAAATTTCAGAACAAATTTTGTTTATAATTACGCAGACAGAATGTCATTAAAGTTATAATAGTATATAAGACGGTCTACGTATTATTGGATTAATTAAAATAGCACACGCTCTCGCTGTCCAACAGTGCTTTTAATTTCTAGTTTGTCACTGTTTTATTGAGTTGATGAGAGTCAGAAATATCAGATTATGTTTGTAATGTTATTATTACTTCACCAGAGGAAAGTCATGGTTATGCTTTTGTTTGACAAGTTTGGTATTAGGGCGCACAAACACAATTTAGGTCTGTCACATGGCGTCGAAAAAGGAACTATGATTTTGGCCAACTTCGGGTGTTACAAATTTAAAGGAACATCAGAGCTAAAAACCATTTCACCTGAGGCAAAGACGGCAGTAATTCGATTGCCGGTGGCAAAACGGTGGCTACAATTGTGATGCCTCAAGCCATAAAGGCAATCCTTCCGCCACAAGGAAAACGGTATTTGATTTTGAAGCAACAATAAATACGCATAGTCATGTGTTGAAGTTAAATGAGCCGTGTAAGTATGTAAGTAAGTAAGTAAGTAAGTAAGTAAGTAAGTAAGTAAGTAAGTAAGTAAGTAAGTAAGTAAGTAAGTAAAGGCTTTATTTATCGAGGCTACACATTTGGTTTCCCAATCTTCCATGTGGGCCTCTATTGTGTGTCACGACAAAACCAACATAATGGGTTTGCGACCAGCATGGATCCAGACCAGCCTGTGTATCCGCGCAGTGTGATCAGGATCCATGCTGTTCGCATACAAACCCTATAACAAGTAGAGAAACTGATAGCGAAAAGCATGGATCCTGATCAGACTGCGCGGATGCGCAGGCTGG